CGGGGCCCCTGGGGGCCCCCCGGGGGCCCCCCCGGGGGCCCCCCCGTGGGGGCCCCCGGGGGCCCCCACCTGGGCCTGGGGGCCCCCGGGGGGCCCCTGGGGGCCCCCGGGGGGGCCCCCTGCACTTGGGGGGCCCCCCAGGGGGGCCCCCGGGGGGGCCCCCGGGGGGGCCCCCAGGGGGGCCCCCTGGGGGGCCCCCTGGGGGGCCCCCAGGGAGGGGGGCCCCTCGAAAGAATGGGTTTGGAGGCCCTTTTGGAGGGGAGTTTGGAAGATTTCTTTGTGGATGAGTTCAAATGCCACTTTTTGTCGATTTAGAAATAAAAGAATTAAAACGAGACGCAAATAAAATAAGTCCCGCTCGCTGGGGTACCCTAGCGGGGCCCAGGCCTTTAGCTGCAGAAAAAAGAAATTAATTATTTGTTTTTATTTATTTATTTATTTATTTATTTATTTATTTGTTTGTTTGTTTGTTTGTTTGTTTATTTGTTTGTTTATTTATTTATCTACTTGTTTATTTATTTATTTGTTTGTTTGTTTATTTATTTATTTGTTCACTTATTTACTTTTATATATATATATATATACATATATATATATATTTATTTATTTATTTATTTATTTATTAAGTTATTTATTTATTTATTTATTTATTTATTTATTTATTTATTTATTTATTTATCTCACCAAGTTTCTGAGGGCCTCTGCGTCTCCGCAATAAACCAAATGACCCTAAAAGCAAAAAGAGAAATAAATTATTTTTATTTTATTTTTATTTTACTTTTTAATTTTTATTTTTATTTTGTTTTCACTTTTAATTCTTTTTGCTGATTTATAATTATTAATTGCTATAAATATTGTTGATTTATTTATTTATTAATTTTTTAATTTTTGATTTTTATTCCCTTTTATTCCCCGTAAAAAATAAATTAGTTATCTAAATGAATTAATTTAAATAATTAATTAATTATTTAAATGAATTATTTTATCTAAATAATTAATTAATTATTTAAATGAATTAATTTATTTAAATAAATAATTAATTAATTAAATTATTTTATTTAAATAATTAATTAAAACAAACCTGGCAGCTGCTGTAATTCTTCATTTTAAAATTTGCTGCTGCTGCTGCTGCATGCAGCCGCAGAGACCCCACAGAGTCTTCTGGGGTGCGGCTCCACTTAATGGCTCTGCATGCAAAACCCTAAACCCTAAACCCTAAACCCTAAACCCTAAACCCTAAACCCTAAACCCTAGGTGTCAGGAAGGGGGTTTGAGGGAGGGCAGCGGGAACGGCTCGATTTTGGCTGCATCGACCCCCCTGGCGTGGAGGCCCAATTGAGAACTAGGGTTTAGGGTTTAGGGTTTAGGGTTTAGGGTTTAGGGTTTAGGGTTTGGATTAGGGTTTGCACCTGCTGACATAAACTGAGATCTCCTTCGCGGTGGGCCCTCCCTCGACCCGCTCTGTGGCCGCCTCCAGGAGCTTCGCTGCCTGCAGCAAACCCTAAACCCTAAACCCTAAACCCTAAACCCTAAACCCTAAACCCTAAACCCCAAACCCTAAATCCTAAATTTCTTTTTCCAGCCGCCGGCCCGCTCCTCCGCGACAAGTCTGCCGCACGCAGCTCGCCGCAAACAACCACGCGCTAGGGCTTAGGGTTTAATGTCTAGGGTTTAGGGTTTAGGGTTTAGGGTTTAGGGTTTAGGGTTTGTACTAGTTCTATTTGGTCCTCGCTGGGCCTTTCATTTTGCTGCACAAAAAAATCCAAAATTAAACCCGCGAGGTCCAAAGAGAGGCCGCCATATCCCTTTTCTGTAAATAAATAAATAAAAATAAACATTTATTTATTTATTTATTTATTTATTTATTTATTTATTTATTTATTTATTTATTTATTTATTTATTTATTTATTTATTTATTTATTACCTGAAAGCTGCAGAGCAAATTCTTTGCAAATGGCCACAGACACTTCCGGCTCTCCTTTGCTGATGTATCTGTTCATACATAAATGAATAAATAAATCAATAAATCAATAAATAAATAATTAATTAATTAATTAATTGGTTAATTAATTAAATAATTAAACAAATAAAATAGTTAATTAGTTAATTAATTATCAATTGAAATAATTAATTAATTACAAAGAAGAGAATTAGATGAAGTGTTTTGGTTTCATCACAGGGGCCCCTGGGGGGCCCCTGGGGGGCCCCTGGGGGGCCCCTGGGAGCCTCTGGGGAATTTAAGAAGCTGGGGGCCCCCTGGGGGCCCCCGGGGGCCCCCTGGGGCCCCAAAGGGGGCCCCAAGGGGCCCCCAAATGTATGAGGGGGCCCCCAGTGGTTTAGAGCCCCTACGGGGCCCCCAGGGGCCCCCCGAACTATCCTAGGGGGCCTCTGGGGCCCCCTGGGTTTCTCAGTACCCTAATTGACCCTAGCTGGCCCCCAGAGGCCCCCTGGGGCCCCCCAAGGGCCCCCAAACCCAGGAGAGGCCCCCAAGGGGCCCCCAGGGGGCCCCCGGGGGGCCCCCAGGGGCCCCCGTTTGGCAGGGGCTGCGGGAAGTGGGGCTAGACCCGCTGGGGGTTCGAGCGGCGCGGCGAGAGTTTGAGTTGGTGAAGAAGAATTAGAAATAAGATTAGAAATAAAAAGAAAAAGAAATAAAAGAGTTTTTGAATTACTTGCCTGTTTGCAAATGTTTTAATTAGCTGGTGAGCATCATAGATTTGGGCGTTTTCGATTTTTCGAGTGACCGCGGCGGCCACTCGGGGGGGCACGGGGGGAAGCGCCGCGACATTGAAGGGATTTCTCGGCATTTTCACATAATTGCGAGCAACTAAGAGAACTAAAAAGGAATTAAATGAATTTCTCGCTTCAATTGCGCATTTAAAGGTCCATTTAACTCCAAAATCGCCGAAAATGGCGCCAGCCAGCCCCAGCCGACGACTGCGCATGCGTGTCTGCGGTGTACATACACCTCAAGTCTCCAGCTTGTCTCACCTTATTTGGCGCCGAACTCTTTCGTTTAAATTCATTTTAATTCATTTTAATTCATTTTAATTCACTTTAATTCACTTTTCTTTTTTTGAATTCCAATTTGTCGAAAGAAGTGAAAGCGGCAGCTTCGAGAGGCAACTGCGCAGCTCCAGGTGTACAGACACCCGCCGCTGCGCTTGTTCACCGAAAAAGCTGTTCAACTTTCTCTAATTTTCATTTATTTTTATTAATTTTATTCTTTTTATTTATTTTAATCCTTTTTTTAATTATTTATTTCAACTTATTTCCTTTTTGCCTCATTTGCCTTTCTGAATATGCACTTTTCCGACCCTCCATACTCGCTGAACGCTTAAACCCTCTTTATTTTGGATTTTTCTCTTTTTAATTTAACTTAACTTAATTCCGTTTAAGTTAATTTAATTTAATTTAATTTAATTTAATTTAATTTAATTTAATTTAATTTAATTTAATTTAGTTAAGCTCAAAACAAAAAGGGAAAAAAGGAGAGCAGCTCTTTCTGGAGCGTTGCTGATCAGCTCCTGCATTTTATTTTTTACTTTATTCTTTTATTTTATTTTTTTTTATTTTTATTCGTTTTTTGTGCCAATTGCATGCATTCAATGTCTAATTATCTCATTATACTTTCATTTAATGAATTCAAATCAATTAATTTGATTTAATGAATTAAAACATTTTTATTTATTTCCTTTTAATAGTATTTGACAATATACTCTTTTAAAGAAAATGAAGCAGCAGATTCAAAGGCTTTTGCATTTTTCTTTTTATTGTTTTCTTTTATTCTTTTTTTCCTTTTATTTCTTTTTATTTATTTCTTCTCATTTTTTCCTTTTCATTTCTTTTTATTTATGTCCTTTGATTTACTTCAATTTATTTGTTTTTGCTTCTTTTTATTAAGTTCCTTTTACTCCCCCTGTTTATTTATGTATTTTCATTTCTTTTTGTGCATTTTTTTCCTTCTTAGTTATTTCTTTCTTTATTCATTTCATTTATTTATTTATTTCCATTATTTTCTTTTTCTTTTTATTTATTTTCTTTTTCTTTTTATCTAGTTTCCTTTTCTGATTATTTGCTTTTATAAAAGAGCTTTTCTTTGTTTTTCTCCTCTGCGAATTCTCCAATTTCCAACTCGCTGCATAATTTGTGCAAACAAATAAACAAATTAATTAATTAATTAAAATAAACAAATAAATTTAAAAAATTTAATAAATTAAATAAATTAAATAAATTAATTAAATTAATTAGAACATAAATCAGCAGACGAATAAGTAAGAAAATAATAAAACGGAAAAGCAAAAAAACAAAAAGGCCAAATGAAGAAGTGAAAAAAATAAAATCATAAAAATGGATAAATAAGAAAAAGACAAATTAGAAAAACAATTTAAAAAGAAAGAAAAAAGGGCTTTGCTGCAGCAGCAGCAGCAGCAGCAGCAGCAGCAGCAGCATTAATTGATTTATTTATTTAATCTGCTGACTACTTCAAAAGAAAGAAAATTAAAATGTGCAACTGCGTCGGGTGTACGTACACCCGAACTGAATTCCCGCTGTAGCTGTAACAAAAAATCCTTTTTGGAATTTTAAAAATAAATTATTTTAAATGAAATTCATTTTAAGCTTTTTGTTGTTTATGTTCGGCTTAAAGTCAAGCTTCGAGGGTTTGCAGCAAATCAAAGAAACAAACAAATCCATGAAATTTAGGGTTTAGGGTTTAGGGTTTAGGGTTTAGGGTTTAGGGCGAGGAAAACGGATATTGGAAACTGCAATTAAATGAATAAAACTGAAAGTTGAATTTAATTGAATGAATTGAAAACTGGAAAAGAGTTTTCGGGTCCACCAAAGGCGCAGCAGTTGGGGTGTACGTACACCCGAGCACTAGGAAGACAGTTCGCGGTGTTTCGGAAAACCCGAAAAGCCTCAAAATGCATTTAAATGAAACTTCTCTTTGAAATATTTAAACAGATTCGAATAGACCATTCATAATGTTTGAATTGGACTTAAATAAACCATTTATAATCTTTGAAATGGATTTAAATGAACCTTTTTAGTTGCAAAGTAAACATTCCGGGGATGCAGCACTCGCAGCAAGGCTGGGGCGATGGGAGAAGAGCGAACTTGAACGAAATGAATTAAATTCTTTCGTTGAGTTCTTTTTGAATTTATTATTTAATTTAATTTAATTTAATTATTTATTTTGTTTTTAAAACAAAAGGATATTTTCAAACGCCGCTGGCCTTCTTTCTCCGCAGCGCCAGTCTCGAGCAGGGCAGTCAGTGCCCGTCTGCATGCCTGTGGAGAGTCCGGAAAGCGGCTTTATTTCTTTTTCTCGCGTTAGAAAGCTTTTTAATGAATTAAAAAGTATTTATTTTGATTTAAATGGATTAATTTAATTCAACTTTGGCGCTTTTCGTTTCTTTTCGCGCGCTTTCGGCTTTCTGCTGGACCTCCGAGGCGGCGCTGCACGAGAAAGCCCTGAGGGTCCTAACCAGCGGCTTGGCCGCAGAGAGCGGCTTTTGCGGGCCTTCGGGTCTTTTAGAAAACATTTTTACGAAATTAAAATCCAAGTACTTTCAATTTGAAGATTAATTCTTTTGAATTTCTCAATTTGCGAAAACTGCGCAGCGCTTCGCGCCGGACCCTGCGGTGTACAGACAGCTCAACCACTTGCCAACCCGCTCCCTTCCGGCCTCCCGCGACCATTTTGGGATATTTCGAATCCGCATTTCATTTTTTGTTTTATTTTCGCACTTTGAAGTCTTTTTGAGGAGTTCAGAGCCGCTGAATTCGCCAGCAGCGCCGCGCTTCTCCCCCGCGGCTCCGGCTCCACCGAGGGAAACCTCCTGATCATGGCAATATTGGCGGCATTTAGTTCCTTTTTTGGCATTTTTCGGACTTTTTTCTCCATTTAAATGCTCAATTTTCCTTTTTGGACCTGCTGGGGAGCGAGAAAGTCAAAAAGGAACCAAATGCGGACTCTTTTGCTGCCTTTTCCGCGCATTTGAATGCCTCTTTCTTCTTTCCGGGCCTGAGGGGCGGCGCGGCGCTGCGGGCTGCTGCGCCTTCGGCCTCCCGCCTTCGACTCCGCGCAGATGCTGCAGCAGCAGCAGCAGCAGCAGCAGCAGCGGGGGGAGCCCGGGGTGTGGGAGGCCGCGGAGGTGGCAGTGAGCGCCGCAGCAGCAGCCAGCGGCAGCAGCAGCAGCAGCAGCGGCAGCAGCGCGCCCTCCCCGGGGGCCCCTGCGGGGGCCCCCCCCAGCTCCGCGGGGGGCCCCCCGCTGCTGCTGCAGGACTACCTGGAGCAGAAGCGGCGGCGTCTGCGGCGTCTGAAGAGTTTCGGGGCCTTTTTGCCGGCCGAGGGTACTTCCCGGGGCCCCCCGGGGGGCCCCGTGGGGGCCCCCGGGGGGCCCCACCCCGGGGGGCCCCCGGGGGGGGCCCCCCTGTGGGCCCCCCC